GTCTTCCAAGTAAGTTAAGATCATAACCTTTCGGTTGTTGTTTCCTGCCAGACAAAGAAGTGGTTTCACACTCAGCCTTTTCCAGACCACCAAAAGACAATAAGACACTAAAGCAACCCACCCCATATGCAACTCCTGCCAACTCCAAATCTCCTAAAACAATAAGCTGAACAAGGCCAGGAGATGGGGTTTATGTGAGGTCCACCACCTCTGCCTGAGAATGAATCATAAAACCACTAGCACTCCATTCCCCAGCCTCACACTGCCTAGCCCCGACCTACTCGATATAATGAAAATGAAATCAGGAACACACTGAACCTAAAACCTCAAGTACATTTTAAATCTTGTTTTAGATCCATCTATATTAACAGAGGTCAGGTAACTTGTTTATTCAAACTAACTTATTCTTACTGGTATAATGACAAAAGTGGTCAGACACATTTTTCTACTTAAAAAAAAAAAAAACCTGACAAAGAAGTACATTCTAAAACTCAGTAAAGAATATGGAAATAGCTCACAATAAACTTTGCCTTATAAAATAACTAATGAAGGAAATAACCCACTTATTTGGCAATGGGAAACAACGATTTGTATATTATTACATATTTGGTAGGTCATTAATTAGAAGCTCTTTTTATTTTCTAGCATAGCATTTTTCAAAAATGTCTTACAAACAACACCAGTGCAACAAGAGAAAAGCAAGTCACGTAAGTTTGAGAAGCTCTGCCTTCTCTGGTCCCCTTCTTAGAAATGACTAATGCATATTTGCATGTTAAAGATTGAGACTGTAACTCTGTGGAATCCCTTGTTTCCCCAAGTTCACTTGGCACTGCAACCCTTTTTCTCTCATAACACATATCAACAGCCCACAAATGGCTGTTCTGCCAAGCGCAATTTGGGAAAAATTTCTTCTAGAAATGGGATATGGGCCAGGCGTGGTGGTTCACACCTGTAATCCCAGCACTTTAGGAGGCTGAGGCAGGCGGATCACTTGAGCTCAGGAGACTAGCCTGGGCAACGTGGTGAAAACCCTTCTCTACCAAAAATACAAAAAAAAAAAAAAGTAGCCAGGCATGGTGGCACATGCCTGTAGTCCCAGCTATTCAGGAGGCTGAGGTGGGAGGATCACTTGAACCTGAGAGGTAGAGGTTGCAGTAAGCCAAGACTGCACCACTGTACTCCAACCTGGATGACAGACTGAGACCCCATCTCAAAAAAAAAAAAAAAGAAAGAAAGAAAGAAAAAGAAAAAAGAAAAGGGACATCGTAAAATGGTTTAAGAGCTGAGACTCCAGAGTCAGCCTGATTCAAATACCAGCTTCACCATTTGTTAGCAGTATGACATTGGGTTTGTCCCTCAGTTCCCCCAGGTAAGATGGGCAAAGTAATAGCACCTACCTCCTAGGCCATGGGCCTTTCCATCTGAGTGGAACAGTCTTCTAAGATCCTCACATGGATTGCTCCTTTTGGTTATTCAAGTCTCAGTTCATACTGTCACCCCCTCCAAGAGGCCTTCCCTGACAACCCAATATAAAATTAGCCTCACCAGATCACCAGTGCTTCACTGCCTTCTTCATGACATGCCTCTATTTAACCACAAAATTGTCATCTATTTTCCCCCAATAGAATGTAAGCACCATGAAGGTACATTTTAATAATGATCATTGCTATATCCCAAAACAGATCTTCAATAAGTATTCATCCAACGAAGGAATGAATAGAAGGATTAATGAATGAATGAATGGATGGATGAATGCATAAATGAATGAATGAATGAGATGACTCAGTGTGAATTCATCTAAAGCATTCTTCGTGATGCCTGACACATAAGCTGACACACACAGATGCTATTTTGAAAACTTCTGGGGAACCGTGAGTGGTTAATACACACATAATCATAATTCTCCCAATAAGTAACATTCTGACTCCACAGTGTATCTTCTTGCTATAGTAGAGGTAAACATTTCACAACATTCATTCAGAGGTGTGCTAGTAAACAGGCTTTCAGGAATGGGCAAGGGAATGGGGAAGGTAGACCCTAAGAGTAGCATCTTCCAATTTCCATGGTATAAATACACCAAATATGACCAATTTCAGGCTATGTGTGGTTTAACATCAGGATCACGAGATTCCTGAGAATTTGACAAATTGCTCTCACAGGACTGTAGAACCTTTCTCATGGGAATGGTCCTTTCAGGCCTTGGAGTCTTGTTTGTTGAGTTCAAGTTTAACATGAGTTTTTTTATGTACAGATGTATTTTCCAAATTCTCCCCCTCTTGATGAGCTAAAATAAGGGATACCTACTCGTTTTGGTCTGATGCTCAGGGAAACTAGTTGTATGTACTGGGCTGCACTTTCTGTACCCTCTTCTGTGTGCTTTCAAACTGGTGTTTAAGGATCTAAATATGATCTATATCCACACCAGACCATTGTGAGAACCAGCCAATCTCAGAAAACCCAAGATGAATTGTGTTTAGATTCATTTAAATGGGGGCAGCCACATAAGGCACCATCTAGTAAGCACTATCAATGAGCAGAATCTAATTGCAGAAGAAGAATGACCACCCTGACCACAAGATCCCAAGAAGGAGTGAGAAATGGTGCTGCAGATGGAGATTTCTCTGGCATCACAGCCTTGCTACCCCTTGGCATCAAAATAAAACAGTAGCTTTTTCCAACTCTAGTCATCCTCTATCAACTGCAGTTTTGAGATAATACAAGAAAAATTCCAAAATCCACAGTTAATCTACATGCAATAACAACATGCCAGTAATTGTTGCTCCTCTTCTGTAAACTACATGAGAGGTCTACGAAGTAAGACATGGAGAAAATTACTTTCTGCTGTACTGTATTTGTTATCTATGGCTGTGTAACAAATTACCTCAAAATTGAGCAGCTTAAAACAGTACACATTTATTATCTCACAGTTTCTGTGGGTCAGGAATTCAGGCACAGCTTAAGTGGGTCCTCTGCTTCACAGTCTCTCACAGCCTGCAATCAAGATGTCAGCCCAGGACCTGTCATCGTATCTGAAGGCTCGACTGGGAAAGGATCCACTTCCAAGCTCACTAAATGGTTGTTACCAGGTTTCCATTCTTTGTGGCTGTTGAAATGAGTGCCTCTGTTCCTTACTGGGTGTTGGCTGGAGGCCACCCTCAGGGCCTCTCCACATGGCAGCTTGCTTCATCAAAGCATGCAAGTATGAAGGCAATAGAGTCTGCTACCAAGATGGAAGTAACAGTCTTACGTAACCTAATCATGGAAGTAACATTGACATTCTATTACTTTTGCCATATTCTATCATTTCAGAGCAAGCTATGAGGATCAACCAATACTCAAAGAAAGAGGATTATATAATGGTGTGAATTCCAAGCAGCAGGGATTATTGGAGACCATCTTGGAAGTCTTCTCACCACATTCACCCTCTTGGAAGATGGATGGGAAGATACTGTGGTTGTTCCCACCCACATGGGAACACCCATCCCAAAATGGGTTGCTCCCATTTTGGCCTAACCAAAACATCTCTTTTTTTTTTTTTTTTTTTGAGACGGAGTCTCGCTCTGTCGCCCAGGCTGGAGTGCAGTGGCGCGATCTCAGCTCACTGCAAGCTCCACCTCCCGGGTTCACGCCATTCTCCTGCCTCAGCCTCCTGAGTAGCTGGGACTACAGGCACCCGCCACCATGCCCGGCTAATTTTTTTTTTTTTTTTGTATTTTTTTAGTAGAGACGAGGTTTCACCGTGGTCTCGATCTCCTGACCTTGTGATCCGCCCGCCTTGGCCTCCCAAAGTGCTGGGATTACAGGCGTGAGCCACCGCGCCCGGCCCAAAACATCTCTTTAAGATTTTCGATATGAAACCAAGCCATGTGGTTTCCCAAGCATGTTGGTAAAGTATCATTAAAACAAAACAAGGAAGAATAAGAGTAGAGGACATTAAATTTGCAGACACGAAAGTCTTTTCCTAAGTTCTAGGCAAATATAACCTACATCAGAGCGAATTCCTGGGAGCATCTGCATTTTTGCAAATCCCAACATGGAAGCCATGTCTTCTGACCAACCAAACAAGTGACTCACAAGAAGCACCACCATCTGAACAGGTATACTGTCAAGAAATCTAGTTTGGTCTAGAAGCAAGTATCTTCTAGAATTTTTATTTATTGCTGTAGAATAGTTTGAAAACATTTTTAATGACATTTTATTGCTTGTTATTTTCTGTGAGATCCTTGTCTCCCTACAGCAGTTTTGCCTGCATGATACTTTTAAGGTCCATATCCACCAGAGTGGCAAGGAACTGCTATAAAAATTTCAAACCTTGGCAGTCATCCACATTTTTTCTAAGCTCTACCTAACCACATATTCTCAGATACATGAGTATCCCAACATTGAATGGTGATAAAAGGCCAGAGAGACTGCCTCTGAAGGACTTCAAATGATTTAACCCACTAAGGGCAAAACACATACTCAGAAAACCTGTAATACTCTGTCCTAGATGAATGTAAATGCAGACAAAAATTATCTTAATCCTAAACACTCAAAATTAATCTGTGAATTTTACCATTCTTTCCTAAATGCTTTACTTTCTGCAAATCTCATCCCCAATTCAGTAATAAAAATATTTAGGGTCATTGTGTTGCTAATCATATTTACTTTTTCCTTTAGAGAGGTGATATTTGATAAACAACTAAACTAAATAGTACCATACCTAAGACTCTGAAACCGCCACCTGTGGGAAAGCAATTGTAAATCACTTTAGAGTTGATATGTCCTGCATATGTTTGAATCGTGGATATGTGTTGAATAATAATGGAATGCATGTGCAGTGAGCAAAGACTAATACAAAATTCCAGTTTAATGGTCTTAAGCCGGCAGGAAGGTCATAAAGCAGATGACAAAGGGAATTTTGTTAAGGATGTAGATATCTTCCAACCTGGGAAAATAACTTGATAACATATTTTCACTTATAAATTAAGGCTGTGGGGAAATACAGAGAATGCTCTTACCTCTCTAAGATGTATGTTTTCCTTCTCTTTCTGGTCTAAAATCACTTCCAAGTGGCTGACCTGAGACTCAGCCTCTGCCATCCGTCGCGTTCGCTCATTGTCATCCTCTAGGCTTTTGGACGGCAAGCCTTTACTTTGTAACATCTCAAGAAGTTTTTTAATCGACTCATCTCGGGCATTGAGGGTTTGTTTCTGCGTTTCAATTCTCAGCTCCATTTCCTCTAATGTCTTCCTCAAAAGGAACAGCTCCTTGGCCTGCCTGTCGTGCTCGGCTTGGAGCCGCCTGAAGTTCTCCTCGGTCAGCTCGATGGTGAAGTGCTCCGCTCCTCGGTTGCCACTCTCTTGCTGGAGGAGGTGGTTGAGGTCTCTCTGGGTTCGCAGCTCATCTTGAAGGGCTTGGATTGTCAACTGTAGGTGCTGCAGGGAGAAAGATGGAGCAGGAGAGGAGACAGAAGGAAAAAAAGTCAATGAAAATGGCAAGTGCCGTTTGCTGCCACCACACTATGAAGATGGAATGTTAATCATGAGGTCCGGAAGGCCAGCCATGAATTCCTCCACGGTGACTTCAGAAGCATGGGACAGCACATGGAGAGGGGGAGATTAATTCAAGGATGCTTTCTGAATGTCTTGGGAGAAGAGAAATGCACACGTACACAGAAACAATAGATTAGTGTCAATCACAAGGGAAATTATACATCTACAGAGTTTTAATTTAGGAAGTGGAAAAGGTTAGAGGGAAACTTTCACAAACACACCTTCTTTATGCCCAGAACGCTCCAGACTCAGTATTCCTTGTTTCCTAAGGTATTCTTTATTGTACTATCCATTATTTCCCACGATCAATATGTGTTGATTTAAAAATGAAAATAATAGCATCCACTACAAGTAGACACAAACGAAGACTTTATTTTTTACAAATAAAGCTGTGAACAGGTTTAGTAAACAGGATTACTGCATCTGAAAGCAAAAGGGAATAAATGCAGGCACAGACAAACACACTCAAACACACAAGGAGGTGAGGCTGTACAAAGCAGAACAAACAAGCTGCAAAGAGTGGACAAACCTTGGTTCTTCTGGCATCCAGTAACTGAACAGCATGGGAAATGAAAAAAAAACGAAGCAAAAAATCAACACAAAGAAAAGTCTAGTGCAAGCAAAGGATACTTTACAGAAAGAACTTAATCAACATAAAGTACCTTCACAGAAGAAAGAAGAAAAAAAAAGAAAAAAATTCTAATTACAGCAAAGACCTATAAGCTACACAGAGTTTATAGCATTGACATTTGATAGACATGGAAGAAAAAAAAAAAAGGAAAGACCAAACCTGAGGTTTATCCCACCTTTTGTTTTCCTAAATCTCACTGACCCAGGAACCAAAAGTCTTGAAAGTATTACCAGAGAGGGAAGCACCTGTTATTTTGGGTCACCATTTTAAGCAAAGTCAGGGTGAAAGCACCAGAGAAACAAAATAGTTATCAGATGTGAGAAAAGATACCCGTGCTTGAAGATAGTTGGTGAATTCAGCAATACCTTTCCCCATAGGACAAACACCCAGGCTGGTCAGACAAGGTAGCCACAAGCCTGAAGGCATTTCTATCCTTACGGACAAGCCAAGATGCTTCCAAGACAGCAGCTATTCATTTGCCAAACACATGATCCTGCTTGTGAAACGAATACAATTCTAAGCACAGGAATCAAGAGGGATGTAAGACATAGCTCCCGCCCACAGGGAACCACAGTATTGTAAGGCATGGGTAATACTATATCTAACTTATATGAATATTGGAGCAGTCAACATTTTGAAATCTGTCTGAATTCCTACAGCTGACACTCAGTGGTATTGAGATCTTTCTGAGTGTGGCCTATATCCTGAAACTAGCACTGGGTGATGCAGCATCTTGATTATATTGTTTCTGGGTATCCAATTCATATCCCCATTTATGAATGTCCATTGAGAAATTCTTAGAGCCTTCTTATCTGTATACCACCGTGCCTCACAGGGTACTGAATGCAGTGAAAGAAACTGATATGTATTTAATAGTGGAGATTATTCGTTTTTAATACAATGCTCCCCTATAAAGTGTAACATACAAAGTTGCGCAACCATCAACACAATACATTTTTTAACATTACCTCAGAAAGATACCTCATGCCCTTTAGAAGTCATTCCCCATCTCCTTCCCTTTCCCCAGGTCCTGGTAATCACTGATTTACTTTCTGTCTTTATGCCTGTTATGGACCTTTCATACCAATGGTATCATGCAATCGGTGGTTTCTTTCACTTAGCAGGTTTCCAAGGTTTATCCATGTGGTAGTGTGTATCTGTACTTCATTCCTTTTTATGGCTGAATAATATTCCATTGAACGGATATACCACATTTTAAATATCCATTCATCAATTGACTCAGACACAAATATTCATAGCAGCAACATTCATATTAGTCAAAAAGTGTTAACAACCCATTTGTCAATCAACTGGTGAATGGATGAAATCTAGTATATCAATTTAATGGGATATTATTCAGTCCTAAAAAGGAATGAAGTGCTGACATACAGGATGACATGGATAAATCTGAAAACATTATGTCATGTGAAAGAAACCAGTCAGGAAACAATATGTGCTGGAGAGGATGTGGAGAAATAGGAACACTTTTATACTGTTGGTGGGACTTTAAACTAGTTCAACCATTGTGGAAGACAGTGTGGCGATTCCTCAAGGATCTAGAACTAGAAATACCATTTGACCCAGTCATCCCATTACTGGGCATATACCCAAAGGATTATAAATCACGCTGCTATGAAGACACATGCCCACGTATGTTTATTGCGGCACTATTCACAATAGCAAAGACTTGGAAACCACCCAAATGTCCATCAATGATAGACTGGATTAAGAAAATGTGGCACATATACACCATCCCAGGACAATGAAGGAGGTCATAATGACTTCTGTTTCTAGGCTTCCAGGAGACTGCATTTTCTGATAGGCCCTCCTCTACACTACAGCTAGATAAAAGCAAATATACTTTTCAAAGCATAGTTGAGCTTACAAGGAAGTAAGGGAAATCTCCAAGGGAGGGGCTGGGGGAGAGACCACTCTCTGTTCTCTCTTCCTCTTCTTATAAGGAGCAAATGCCAATCCAAGCACTGAGCTTGAGAGAGCGAACTGGGGCTCACTGAAGTGAGGGAACTGAGATTCTCCCAACAAGCCCATATTTGCAGAAGAGGCTAATGTGGTCCTAAGTGCCCCCTGGTGCCTAACAGATGCAAATGCAAATTCTTGTAAGGGGGACAGGCAGTGGGTGAGCAAGGACTGGGAAAGGCGATGAGGCAGAGAACAAAAGCCCTCAGGAGTCCAAAAAATTCAGATTAATGAAATACAAGCTTACAATAAAAAATTACCACAGACACAAGGAAACTTCCATGAGTGATGGCCATATGCAGAATACAAGGTGTTTCTGAAATGTTTAAGAAAATAAATAAAAATTTTAGAAGAAATATAAAATTGAAGATTCAGCACGGAAAAGTGACTTTCCAAAATTATCAACCAGATCTGAAAAAGAATAAAAATATACAGCAATGAAAAATATAGCATTTAAAGTGAAACCTAACAGATGGGGTAAGAAAAAAGAGAAAACTAGTGAACAAAGACACAATAGAGGCAAGCCACAAAGCAAAATGTTGGTTCTTTGAAATGACTAATAAAACAAACCTCTTCAGAAATGAGTACATATAGGAAATATTTAAAAGATGATATGAAAATACTGTTAACTTTGGGCCAACAAATTTTGAAATATCAAGAAAATGAACAAACGACTAGTCATACCTTACATAATCTGACTCTAGAAGAAACAGAAATCCTGAAGAGTTCTGCAGCTATTAAATAAATAGAATCAGAATTTTAAAACTCTTCCCGCAAAGAAAGCCCAGGTGACTCCAATTTGCAAAAACTTTCAGATAAATGGAAAGAAGAAACTCTCCCCCAATTCATTCTGTGAGACTTGATCATCTTGACACCAAAGCTAGGCATGAACTATATAAGAAAGGTAACTTCTAGTCCAAACTTCACACTTCGACAGTGAGTATTATTAGCAAGTGGAATACAGGGGTATATTAAAAAGGTAATACATCATGACCAAGATGTGTTTCTTATAGGAATTGGAGAATACTTCAGCATTAGACAAAGTATTCTGTAAATAACGTTAACGGAGTAAAGATGAAAAATAATTATGATCAGCTCAAGATATAAAGTCAGTGTTTTCTATAAATCGTTACAAACTAGGAATAAAGAGGAATTTCTTTAATTTAATAAAGTATATCTGCTGCAAACTGACAGTATCATTCTTAATGGTAGATGTTAGAAGCATGCCCCTTAAAATGAGGCATAAAATTACGCCATCATCAGCACCACTTGTAGAATGTTGCAACAGCCTTCTCCTAGAGGCCTAAGTTAGAACAGTAAGACCAGAAAATAAAGAGAAAAAATAATAATTGAAAAGAAGAAAAGTTCTATTATCATCAATTGTATTATGTGGTTTTCTATTTAGAAAACCCAAAAGAATCTATAAATTATTAAAAATAATAAAGTTATTTCCTTATCAGCAGGGCACAAAAAATGTAGCCATAAAAAGAAGAGTAGTAAATTTGACAATGTTAAAATTAGGAATTTCTGTTCCACAAAAGACACTATAAACAGAATGAAAAAACAATCTACAGTTGAGAGATGATGTTTGCAATACATTAAAATGACAAAAAATTTGTATCAAGAATATACATAGAATTCCTATAATTCAATAAAAAAAGATACCAACAGTTAATTGAAAAATGCACAAAAGAAATGAGCGGGCATTTCACAGAAAAGGAAATACGATCAGACAACAAACATATGAAAAGATGTTCAATCTTATTAGTAATCAGAAAACCACATGAGCCATATGGAAGCCACAACGAGAAAGCATTTGATACCCCACTCTCTTAGCCACACACACATACACTCACACACACTATAATAATCATAATAGCAGCAGCAAAAATAAATAACAATAGCAAGTACTGACAAGGATATAGATCAATAAGAACTCCTAACACAGCTGCTGCAAGTAAACTAGTGCAACCATGCAAGAATTAACCATGCATATCCTCACCTAGAAATTTTACCCTTAGGTACATATCTGAAGCAGGGGATGGCAAACTATGGCCCAGGGGCCAAATCTGGCCTTTTGCCTGCTTTTGTAAATAAAGTTTTATTGGAACACAGCTATATTCATTTATATATTGTCTTTTTTTTTTTTTTTTTTTTGAGACAAAGTCTCACTCTGTGGCACAGGCTGGAGTGCAGTGGTGCAATCTCGGCTCACTGCAACCTCTACCTCCCAGGTTCAAAGGTTCAAGCGAGTCTCATGCCTCAGCCTCCCAAG